ACTTACAAATGCTTGTGTTACTACTAATGTACGACAAAACTTAAATAAAATATCTCAGAGTGCTGCTCATGTTCAAAAATCATTACCAAATAATTTAACTGTACAAAATGAACATACTGTAATAAAAAGTAATCAGAGCCATCAACAAGGAAATCAACAAGAGTCAATAACATTGCAGCAAGAAACACCAATATATCAACATAATCAACATCAACAAATAACAGCACAGACTGTACAAACTCAGAATGTCCAACAAGTTTTCGAACAAAATCTTCAAACTTCTGGATCAAATGCTCAACATAATTCTTTGAACATGTTACAACAACAAAGTTCTTGCAATACAGCAATGCAACATGATGCTATGAATGTTTTGCAACAACATTCTAGTATTCAACAAAATACGATTAATGTTTTGCAACAAAATGCATCTAGTAATGTACAAAATATTGAACAATCTGGCATTGGTGATTTGACTCATGCGCAACAAAATGTTATTACAAATATGCAACAGCAAAATACATCTGCTATTTTGCATAATACAAGTGTACAGCAAAATGTAAATGTACAACAACAAAAAGTTGTTGCAGCAAACACATTTTCTTCTGTGAACACGCATCATTTTGAATCCCAGAATACAATTAATGCTATACAACAAGGACTAAATACACAGCAAAATAATCAACATCAAAATATTGTGATTACAAATGCTCCTCCTTCAACTGCTATGCAACAAAATGAATCTCAAAAAATAGAGACCCAAAGTACAACAATGCTTAATTCAGCAGCAAACAATATATTAAATAATGCACCAAAAATTACTCCCGAAATTTTAAATGCATTGAGTAATTTAAATCCTAATGATCAGTTATTAATTGCAAATGCAAATGGACAAATGCAAGTAATCAGTCAACAGCTATTACAACAATTTTTAGCAGGACAATTAAATGCAACTAATCAGGTACAAAATCAAAACCAAACTCAGAAAATAGTGATTGGTGAGCCAGATGCAAATAACCAGAATTTACAAGGTGTACAAATTAATACTCCAACGAGTCAAATAATTGTAAATAGTTCTGGTGGAGCTCCTACGATTCAAAATAATATACAGAATATTGTAGTACAAGCTGCTCCTTCTCAAATGCCACAACATATACAAATTCAAAATTCCAGTTTTCCTAGTCAGTTTATTGACAATTTAAATCAACAACAAATCAGAAATCTAGGTAATAATCAACCAAAGAAGGCAAAAATTATTAAAAGAACAAAAACTGCTGTTACTACTCAAAATACTGGAAATGCGCAGGTATGCGTAAGTTTTTTTGATTTTTCTATCCTTTTAATTGTTAATAATTTTAATTGTTAATCTTTTTATTGTTAATTTAATATGTTAACAGGTAACAAAAACAATTACTGTTTCCCGCCCAACAATGTTATCAACAAATATAACTAATCTTCAGAAAGTTGATAATTCTAACAAAGTAAATACTGTAGTGTCACAAAGTACAAATCCAATTAAGAGCGAATCTTCGCAAGTTGTTACAAATGGTCCTGTACTTCCGTCTTCTCCTGGAAATCACTTATCAGTTCCCTCAAATGGTCAAATGGTTCAAAGAGTACAGACTATTCAACTTCCTGCTCAAAAACAACAATTATTAAAAAATATACAGTCTCAAATACAAGCTATATTAGCTCGTAAATCAGGTTCACAACCAGATCAAAGTGTTTTAACAAAATTATATCAAGAACAAGCAAAAATTTTAGCAAGTGGAAAGGTTGTTAGTACTACAACACATTCTGTTAGTAGTGTAAGTCTTGTCATATTATTAATACAAAAAAACAAAAAGTTTGTGATATAAAATAAAATAAAAATAAAATTACATTGTAGTATACATTTTTTGACATTACTTAATTTTCAATTAATTTAAAATTTTTTTCAACATTAATTTTATATTTATACAGGGAACAGAAACAAGTTTTAGTGTGAATGCAGTTTCAACAATGGCACCAAATTTAATATCACAAAATTGTTATAAAAATCAGACATCAGCTGTACAAACTCAAACACAGACATCAACTACTGTGGTAACTTCACAAAATTTAAATCCTAGTACATCTTCAACTGTACAGAATAATTCATCTAATAGTTATATGAACAACCTTTCGGTATACAATAATATAATTTTTTATATTATAATTGAATTTTCATTTATATTTTTATTAATTATTGTGAAATTTACAGATATCACAAAATGTGCAAGGACAACAATGTGTACAAAATAATCAAAATGTACACCAAACGCACACAAAACAGCACAAGATTTATCAGAATCATGGAAATCAGATATTAAATCCGTCCTCTGCCAATATACAAATTTTCTCACCACCAATTACCTCTGTAGCTACTGTGCAGAGTAACGCACAACAATTATCTTCAGTTCAAACTCAACAAACTGGAATGCAACAATCAACCCAATGTCAGACAGACCCATTAGACATAAAACCAAATTTGCAAATATCAAGTCCTGTTAAACAAGAACTTTCTTCACCTATTCAAATACAAGTTCAAAGTGGTTCACCTGCAGGACAGGTAGCCTCACCTAGAATGATTGGCAAAGGATCACAAAGAATTCAAAGTCCTGTAAACACTAATGGTAATTCCAACAAGCAAACTGTCAGTCCCAATAGTAATTCAAGTCCTTTAGTAAGTCCTAGACAAGGTGTAAAAAGACCAGCATCCAGTCCAATTTGCAGACAGATTAATCGTAGTGACTTGTAAGTATAACTTTTTATTAATATGATAATATTTATTCTTAAATTATTAATCTTATGTTTATGGATATATTTTTACTTTTTATATTTACAGATTAGAACAGCAATTAAAAATTGATCAAAACGGTGCGATAAATCCAGACGTAAACACGCCATTTTTGAGCAAGCGTGATGCTTGTAAACGTCTTGTGCGATATCATTGTTTAAATGAGCAGGTACTTAGTTCTAAAGATTTGGCAAAAGCTGATGAGATGTTTGAAGAAACAGCCAAACATCTTCTATCAAAATTCAATTCCATGATGAACAAATATACGTATCTTCTTTTGATGGAGAGCATGGTATGTAAAAATATTTAATCTTGTTAAAATTATAATAATCACTTAATTAAAACTTACAGCGAGAAGTGAGGACATCGGAATTGATGATGATTGACAGAACTTTTGTTGCTGAAGAACAAAGTATATTAAATAGGTTACGAGAACAAGAGGCTAAAGTTAATGGTAAAGTCAATATGTTAATATAGATATTTTTTGCTACATTATGTATTATAATAATCTTTTTCTTTTATTTCTTTTTTATAGAAGAGTTCAAAAAAGAAGAGAAGCCATTGGTGCCAAAGGTTGAACCTGGTCTTACAGAAGAAGATAAATTATCACCATCATTAACTAACGTGTCTGTAAAACGTGAATTAGAAGATGACTTTCTAAGTGACGAAATAGAATGCAAACCAGTGATTAAATCAGCAAATTGTACTAGTGGTGATTATGATGAGTGGGTGGAGATACAAAAAGAACTTGGTGTATATCCATCTACCACAGACTCATTTAAATGTAAAAATATTAATAATAGTGGTAGTAATAGTGCATGTGCTGTGGCTGTTACAAGGTCGTCTAAAACTGAAAGAACACGAGCAAATGGTGAATGTCGTCTTACTGTATCAAATGCGAATATTTCTGGAGTTCAAAGTACAGTTATAAAAGACAATTGCGAACAAGATACTACTTCAGTTTTTGAGAAGCGTTGGAGTAGTGCTACTGATCTCGAGCGAGATTTATTAGAAGATACAGACAGCTTAGATGGACTGGCCTTACATTCTCAAACTCAATGTCCAGGCTCTCTTCAAGTAACAACCGAAAGTGGAAATGGTAATGAACATGATGATATTACAGCGCAGGTACAATCTGCCATTGATAGCATTCTTAATCTTAAAAAACGTCCTACAAATACATTACCTGGCAATGGTAATAGTGCATCACAATCCAGTGAATCAAAGGACACAGTGCTTGACCAAGCAGTCCGTAGCATTTTAGGCTCGTGACCCTCCTTTAATAAAGTATATTAAACAAGTGAAGTTAATGGTGAACATCATGCTAATTGTTCGTTTAAAAAATTTTTAAAGTACTATACATTTTTTTGGTGATTTTTTTGTGGTTATGTGAATAATCTAAAAACTATGTTTGATATTAAGAATGCGACATTATCTTTGGTAATGCATATTTGAAAGCCTACAAATTGTTGCTAAATTATTTGTATAAATCCTACAATTTTAATTTCATTTATACATAAATTAAAACGACTATCTGGATTATGCAATTTTATATATTTCTCCAAAATTTATTGAAAATTTTTTCTGCAATGGCAATAACTATGCATAATATAAAAACAAGTATACTTTCCAGTAGTCTAGCTGTAATAAAGCCATCGCGTTTATCTAGCAGCTGTACATGTGGATAGATAGGCAAATAGATGGATAGATAGGTAGTAAAATAAATAGATAATTCGCTCAGATTTTTCAATCTGCCACTTTGTAATGTAATTTTGTAAAAAGTAATTATTTAAAACAATTTATTCCACTTTATCTGTAGTACTTGTAGAAAAATCTTAAGATACTTAAAACTGGGTCGGTGAATTGTATATACATTTTTAACATGTATTATTATTATTATTATTAATATTATTATTATTATTATTATTATTAATATATTATTATTATTATTATTATTATTAATATATTAATATTATTATTATTATTATTATCATTATTACTATTACTATTACTATTGCTATTACTACTACTACTACTACTACTACTACTACTACTACTACTACTACTAC